ATTTTTCAGATTCAAATTCAACTTAACGGGCTGTGGAAGTACCGCCGTCGGGCATGGGCAGACTAGAAAAAAGAAGCGATTTACTAGGTTCAACGCAGATGTAGATTCCCTTGTCAGGAGAACTCGTAGAGTGGGAGTAAGTCCGTTTTCGCCTTCCTGTTCTCAATTTTTGTCAACGGTATATACTACAGGCACGAACCGAAGTGATCTCATGTCAATTTATAAACATTCCTAGCTTACAGTCAGAAGGTACGCCGACCAATAGCCAAGAGAGGACGTTTATAGTTGGAAAGCTCAACTTCTCCATGCAAAACAATTTACGCGCAAACTACGAATTTCCGTATTTCATGAAATGGACTGTTGGCGGGAGAGCTTCCCTTCCTTCTAGGTAGTGTGTGTGTAATCGACAGATTTAATTAGCATGAATATACAAAAGGCAAGGAAACTCCGCCTACTGCTGGACTAGTCGGTGATTTTCCCTACTACGGCTGAAAAAAAATTAAAGTAGTGGGTAAATGGAGGAGAAGGAAGGAAGTGTGACAGCTGAGTTTCAAATGCCTGCCAAAATTAGCAAACACAGGCAAATGCAAACGGGACGTACGCGCCTTCTGCCCATTTATGAAGGAATGAATGCATATGTAAAACTAGTGGGTTCTTGAAGAGGCAGTTGCTGGAAATTTAAGTGGCATGCTTCATAGCAGTCGTAATTTTACTAACGTCGTACTTGTACCTGCTGCAGCCAAGGGTTGAGCAAAAACCGTTAAAATATAACCTCACGATTTGATGCAGTAAATTACCGCCACTAGGAAATTAGCAGCCTAAGGTGAGGCAGCCAAGGCATGTTATTTGAAAATACCTTTCAACCACTCGAGAGAGGCATGTTGAAATCATGATAAATCTAGTGTGCCTCAGAAAAAGGAACAAAAAATCTACAGCTCTAAAATATCCTTAAATTACAAATCTGTCTTAAAACCAACATATATTGTTTTATAAGTAGGATAGGTAGGATAGGAAGGACTACGAATTCCTGAAGGCAATGCACTCAGACGAAGCATGCAGTAATAGGCATATCGGTGTAGGTGTCAATTAAAAAATTCTTAAGGTCAGGTGGAAGCATAAGCAGCCACCACCAACCGGATAATTAAATGCAGGTGACGGCTATTGGTTTACCCTCTAGCCAACCATAGAATCTTGAATTAGACACCGTTTTTACTTAAATAGTTTTTGTAGATCTCTTAGTTGTCTGAAGATGAGCTAGGGGACCAGTCTATAACATTCGCACAAAAGACCGTATTCTACTCCCAAAGAAATTCGAATGTTTATAAGTATATCCTTTGGGATGCCAATATTTTAATTATGATATCAAATAATTCAACTACTTGTCGCCAAAAGCAGTGCAAGTGAATGGGATATAACTATAAAAAAAGAATCTTAAATACATTGGTTGACTAAAAAAGCCAACAATTCACTTTATACAAGAATATGCAGTCGAAAAGATATTTTAATTTTTAAGAAGCACGACCGCAGTTTTGCAGAAATACACCAAAAGAAGCTAGGCATTCCACTGCATAAGCAGCATGGTAAGACTCCACTTAATACGCATTACTTATTTTGAACTTTAAGGCAAATATAGGCTTAAAGGAAATGAGCCCATCAATTATGGTCTATAATTGATCTTACGCATGCTCATATCCGACTTCTGTTGTGGACGTTCATCTTTCCCAGCAGCTGGGCTTAAGGTTTGAGTAAATCTACAACTATGACCGAAATGGTCATAGTCATAAGAAATGATGCCCAAAGCTCGCTTCTTCGGTAAATACTTGTACGAAATATCTTAAAGGTTCTGATAAACTAATGGAACAGGGTCTAAACTTATGGAAAAATCTCTTGGAAAACAAGAAAACTATGAAGTATTCGATGTAATTTCTTAGGCCAATCTAAAGCTAATTGTAATCTACTACCAGAAATACCGTTAAAGAAATTTGATAAAAGGAACGCTTTCTAACATACATAAAATGGGATGTTTATGAGTTAACCTAACAATTCCATTTATATTTATTGGTCAGAGTTACAACGATTTTTTTTAGGTTTTCGGAATTTGAGGCTTTTTAAAAACGTTCGTGATTTCCAAGTTTTCGTACATGCGCCGACGTCGGTTTGTAAGTGGCGACCAATCTTTCGCAGCGTTCGGCATTCTGTATGAGTTAGGTTATCTACTGGAAGAGAAGTGAAAAGACTATTCCCAGGTGATAAGTCCACAGACGGAAGAGGGTTTACCGGGCAAGATTTATCGCATGCCTGACGTCCCGGGTAGTTTTGTGTCGTTTACCCGCCTTCAGAGCCTGAACAGTTAGGCTCAGTGGCTTTCGTTATATATATACCTCTTTTTTTCGTGCGCGTGTAGCTTGCCAACACCAGCTGAACCACTGTGTACGGTTCGCAGAACGGCAAGTCGAACTGCGAGTAACACGAAAAGACGAAGTTGTTAGGGTGTTACGGAATGAAGGCGCTGGCTGGGGGCGCGGAAGAGAAGTAATTTGAAATCTGTCAAAAGACCCTTCAACTGTCTGTAGGACATGGATCAACAGACCCAATAGCTTTTACCATCACTCTGTTCGGTGGGGGGGGGGATTGTTGATTTTGAGTGACTGAACAAACGAAGCATTAGTCGTAAGCTCAGTAAGAGAACCCAGCTGCCCTTAGGAGGATGGGCGAGGAGTTTGTAAGACACTGCAGAAACGCCGGAAAACACCTGGGTGTGAAACAACCGCCAACAAAAAGGGAAAACACACCAACACCAACAAAGCAGGTGTGTATACATACGCGGTTAGGGCTGCAGTGGCTGCACTTAAAAACAGGAGAGGAGAAGAAAAACACAAGACAATTCTCATTTTAAAAAAGTATACTGGAAATAATCGTGTGCAATTACACCCTCGCCGTTTAGCATTCTCACAGGGCCAGTGAACACCAGAAGCAACGTGATAACTTTCTCAGCGCGATAATTTTTTATTGGCTGTAAAGTACAATAAAGCTAACGAGGCAAAAAGACGTTTTCACACGGAACTAAAGCACTGGAATGCGGCTAGAGCGCAGTTGGGGAGTGGCGCCTCCGGTTTAGCGAAACGCGACCGGACCACAAACAAGCACCATTTTGAAAAGTTAATTCGGCAAACTCATGCTTTCTGTAACTAATCATCGAGCATATACAATCGCATAGAGGATGAGAATATTACAATAAAACAGGGTTTATAAATATCTTTTAGTTAATATCCATCATTCTCACGTCACCCGGATGGCGCGCTCATTCGAGCAGGGGAGACTAGGGTAGGCTGTGAGTAACGCGTGTAGGTCAAACATGGGGAGTGCACGTCACTGATGGGCAGATAGTAGTGCTGGCAAAGGGAGACTGGAGTGGCTATTTTTGGCTTGTAAGCCGTATTCAGCCAGTCATACACAGACCTAAGTGGTTTCCCACCCGAGCCTCGAAATCGCCACCTTTTAATCAGAGTCAAACACCCTAACCGTTGGGTCAGGAGCTTTTTGTCTCGTTGGTTGAAGTCAGGGGATATTGAAACTCGTTGATGAACATTCACCTGACTGCTAACGGAACTCATCTGCCCCGTTCTGCCTTGGGCTTCGACAAAGGCCCTGACAACTGTAACAGCAGTAGGCCGGCAATATTATATGCCTACAACTAGCTGGTACAGCCGTCAGGGCGTCTGTCGAGGCCCAAGGCTGAGAGGGACAGATGATTAACGTTCGCGGTCAGGTGAACGTTTAACAATGAGTGAACGTCACTGTCAAGTACAATTTTTATGGATTTAGTATACAGTAGACTAGGCTGAATTTTTTTTAGACGAAAATAAGTCAATAAAACGATTGTGAAATCGCCGCTTTACAAAAAAAGAGTGCAGCTAGGTGGACTGTGGGGTGTTGTCTAGACAAGTACTTGAGATGTTCAAGAGGGCCAAGGTCGTAAGGAATAGATTGGGGAAAGGCAGACAGGATAATTTAATGTCGGCGTGCAGTTATCAATATAAATTGTTTTATAGAGCGGGAACGTTTTCGGAATACCCAGAGAGTTGGTTTTTTCTTAATAAATCCACTATGTTATTTTTTTGTTAAATTACTCCTGTTAAATATGACATCCAGTAACGTTTAAGCAATCGCAACAATGAGACCGTTCTGTCCTTGTTGATAATACCATCAACTCGAATCACTGGTTTTAACGCCTTGCATTTCCACTACAGAAATACATACAACCGAGAATACATTTTACTTCTCCATGCGATTTAATTCCAACCCAATTTAACTCTAAGAGATAAAAATAATGCGATAAGCCGAAAATAGGGACACAAAGCTTACCTTGAAAACATACTAGGAGGGTATTGTACCGAATTTGAATGACGCTAACGACGGACAGACGATCCTCCTCTGCGGAAAAAAAGAAATGCGGTCAATTAGGAGGCGATTATGTTTGGTTAAATAAAGTTTATAGCAAAACACATGCATCTTCTTGAAAAGCATAGAATCTTCACGGTGTCTAGTGATAATGCTAAAAGTCTAAACTGGCTAACTTGTTTTCAATTATAACCGGTGGCATGTGGAGGATGGGAAAATCGCGATGAGAAAATCGCGAAACTTTACAGTTATCAAGTATAGTGAGGTTGTGAGACAAGGTTAAAGCAAAAAGACAAGCAG